TTTGAGGGGTTTTCCTGAGGTTTTGAACCTTTTACAGCTCAGGAATTACATCTTTTGAGATATGTACGTTTTTATTTCGCGATTTTGTTGAAAATCAAATAACAGTAAGATGTATTAAACGATGGGAGTGTATATTTGTATAAATTTAAAAGGTTTGGGACGCGTTTATATGTATAAATAACGATCGCTTCGTCCTTATATAGATTATAGACCAAGTTAGAGAATATGACGATTTCAAAAATCTGACCGTGGCTCAAGCCACGCTTGCCACCCCCTGGATCCGCCCCTGCATTGAAATATGGGTATACTGACAGCTCTGTCACACGTGTAGTTTGACATTAGCAGCCCTTCTGAAACTTTTTAATGAATGTATGATTCACAAAATTCACATATTCACTTACTTCTTAACATCTGTTTTAATCCAAGTTTTCAACTAGCTGTGTAGGCACGAGCGAAATTTAGTGTTGATGTAAATTAGATCCATTTAGTTCATGTTTCCCCGGTGAAAATATAGTCTATTCCAACGCTGATTTCGACGTACTTTAGCTTTTCAGAAACTGTTGGCCTTCCTCAGTGAGATTATGAACTGTTTCACAAACATATTTGATAGTAAACAGCTAAAATATTCTCCAAAATTCTATATTTTTGCTCTTCGACGCGAAAATGGCAACTGAAGAAGAAATGAGCCGCTATTTATGGTCAGCGTCGACAAATTGCCCACCTGTTGTCAAGAATAGGAGGCTGCCTTCGGCAGCAATAATTTTGCAGTTCTGACTGAGTACAATCTTAATCATTACAATGAATGGTGTCATTTGAAGCCGACATATTAATCGTCTTAATCGGTTGTTCTGTGATATGGGCAGCCTTGAAGGTGGCATTAAAACAATAATTGGATTATTGGAACAAACCCCGACTTAGTATTTTTATGTATTAAAACATTGTACAGTATTCAGTGACAAGCTAGCTATGGCAACTGGCCATGCTATGCTATAAACCTGCATCTATTTGAATAATGCAAATCACTAAAACTTGCATAACATGACCTGTTGCTACGGCTACAATCTTGGACATAACTGGTTAAGACTATTTTCCCCCTATAGAAAATTCGCGTATTTTTATGATAAACTCCATGTTGAATCATGTTGCCATTCTTAAACCCCCGCTCCCCCAACTCAATGTTGAGCTTGTATCATGGTATATTACCAAAAGTTGTTTCGGCGTTGTTCGCAACATTGAACTGGGGAGAGGGGGGGACAAAATTTGTTTTGTCAATGTTCAATAACTTTGTAATATTAGCTGAAATGGTCTCAAGGGTTTTGTCCAAGATTGTCTGAAGCACACTGAATTTAATTGTGCATTATAACTCAATCTTTTTTAATTTTCTTCCACTCCAGTAGTCTGAAAGACGGATATACACGTTACTTCTTGTTTTTCGAGCAATATATATATTTGTTTGCATGAAAAGTGAGCAAAATAATGCCTATTCGAACTTGTCACATCCTAAAATATACGCATGAAACGCATGAATTTTTCTTGTTGTTTCATCTAAAATATAAAGTTTTCTACTGCCAGAAGCAAATAATATATGTTACTAGGGCATAGAGGTCGAGACACATGCATTGGGATTTAATTCAATTATGTAAATATCACGTTCAAGTGTTGCTGTGTATAGGTATTTTTTATAAGATGATGTCATTTGTTCTATACTTTATCAGCCTCAAACTTGCTTTTAAAACTTATAATTTAACCCGAAATTTTTTATATGACGGTTAACCAAGTATAATCTTTATCGTGGTTTGATAAAAGAACGGTAAACAGGCCATTAGAACGGTAAACGGTGACTCCAATTTAAAACAATGACTAGACCTATCATTTACTATAATATCTTGCTGCTATCCCCGTTTACCGTTAATATCACATCAAATCTTTTCGTTAATCGTTTGAAATGTTCTTATATATTATTATGAAAGGTTTATGCTCCAAAAGTCATGGCGATATACTCGCATTTCTTTACTATGGTCAATTTGAACATTGTACAGGCGACTCTTTGTTCCTCGTGGGGGGTCGCCATACTATAATAACCTGTGAAAAGTGCGGATTGCCTATATGAAAATAGCTGTGTAGACAACGTTTAGTATGTCCATGATTCCATTTCTTTTTAAACTCTGTAGCTATGTTCTATAGCAGTAGCTAATTGGTTCAAATGGAGCAGGGAACGTTCGCACGTTAGAGTGAATAGCCGTTTTCTGAGCAAACCATGTTATCAAGTTTGACCAATTCGGTTAATTTTAGTGTTGGATATGTTTTTACATTCACTATACGAAGCTTTCAATGATGATATGGAATAAGGTAGAAATCAAATTTACCAAAAGTCCAATAAATAATTTACTTTCATCCAGACGTGTATTATGTCCTCCTAATTAATTTCCCTTTACTTACAATATAAATATAGATTTTGCATCGCCTGGAATGATTGCTAATATGGATAAAAATTTCGGTTACCTACAGTACTTGCAGTGTAACATATATTTAATAATTTTTCTTCCATCGCAACACTAACCTATCTGCCTTTCTAACCATAACTCTCAAACAATTGGTATGCTTGTAAAATTACCACATTCAGACAATCTTGGACATAACTGGTTAAGACTATTTTCCCCCTATAGAAAATTCGCGTATTTTTATGATAAACTCCATGTTGAATCATGTTGCCATTCTTAAACCCCCGCTCCCCCAACTCAATGTTGAGCTTGTATCATGGTATATTACCAAAAGTTGTTTCGGCGTTGTTCACAACATTGGGGGGAGGGGGGGACAAAGTTTGTTTTGTCAATGTTCAATAACTTTGTAATATTAGCTGAAATGGTCTCAAGGGTTTTGTCCAAGATTGTAGCTTCACCACTGACAGTATTATAACAAGTACGATCGTACTATAGTGGACCAGGAACTTCGTGACCCAGTTTCGATCTTGTGCAAATCGTTAAATGTTCAAAACCTTCGAGATTTTGACTTGATAAACAAATAACTAGACACTTTAGTCTCAAAATTGCATGGCAGCGTAGACTGAATTCGCTAAATGTTTTGCTTTAATTTGGTCATGCAAGATAAACTTTATCCGAGCAAAAAATGTGTCTAGTCATGCCGTGTATAAATGAATGTAAATCTGGACAAAGCATATAGATAACTAAATGCGCAGTTTTCAAAAGTAACTATATACTCGTATTGGAATTATATAAGTTAAATGTCCCACAATATTAAGACTAAACATGCCGTATACGTGTCTAAATTTAACTTTTGCCGTAACAAATTTTGCCGTGCCGTGCGTGCCATTGCAAAATATTGCAGCTACAGTCGTGTATACGTGCCGTGTAAACGGGACTTAAGTTAAGGTAACAAATTATCTGAATTCGGTTGCTATAGTATAGGTTAATGCAGTTCATTTCGCTTGGTAATGGCTTCATAACTGCATGCCTGTGCTAAAAACAAATTGACATGTCTTTGTTTTTACGGTTCGCGATTCAGTCTGGCTATGCATGACTATGAATATTATATGTAGCCAGATAGGAGTATAGTACTCCTCTGCGCTTTGAGAAACTAAGCCAGCGTGTTAAAGTGCCACTAACCCCCTAAATTTTCTTTTCATAAAATCAATAACCGCTATTTATGGAGTACAAAAATGAAAAAAAAAATTAATCGGTTGAATTCTCGCTATTCTATGGCTTCTCAAAGTTTGAAAAATTGCCCTAAAATCGACGCCATTTTGTCCCACGAGCGAGCGCCGATGATCTGGGGTTGTGACGTCAATTGGCAGTGTTTCCACATGCAAGGATATTTCCTTGCAAAAGGAAATATCGCTATTTGCAAGGAAAAATGCAAGGAAATGAAACTCGCAAGGAATTTGCAAGAATATCCGTAATATTTAAAAAAAAAACGTAAAATAGTTCTAATTTCGATACTTTCCATGCCTTCATATGTATGAAATTGTATAATATATTAATTTAGCGGGTGGGTCAATAAAAATATGCTAATAATGTAATATTTAACGACATATATACGACAAAAAAACACGAACAAAAAAACGCGAATATTCTACGTGAATCAAAAATATGGCGGTCGTTATGGCCATCAATATTTAAGCGGTTAAGCCATTTAAATATAATATGGATATTGAATAATGGATTATTCAAATTCGTCAAGTTCGGAAGACGATGTCTCACATTCTAATAATTCTACAAACAAACGAAAGCGCCAACAAAAGCATGTTCAATCTATTGTGGATGCTTGGCTTACTGAGAAACAGTTTAAAAATCGGCTGTGCAAATGAGTGGGGAAAAACAATACAGCACAACCATTCTGCAAGGTATGGAAAGGATTTTCGGACTCCCAGCAGGCAGCAGCCAACATTATTAGTTGGCTTATCTGTTGTTGCGGGCATCGGATGCCTAAATATGCCTTTGTGCAGTTGCACTGTGTAGTGTGTAGTCTGTGTTCTTGTATGTCTAGTATTAGTATTTTAATAATAGTATATATGATATTGTATATATTATTTCGTATAGTTGTTAAATAGTATATAATAATTTCTGAAATAATCTGAGAAAAAAGTTCTTGGAGAAACTATTTGAGTAATTTGACTGAGTAAGACTCATGTACAGTAGAATTAGTAAACCATGCACTGGCACTGCTGGCAAAAACTATCCAGGACGAAGACAGTTTAAAATTTTTAATATATAGTATATAATATATACATTTTGGGATTCAAGTTACAAATTACAATTCAACCAAGACATTATTATTATATTATTGAACAGTGAATATTGAGACAACCGACGAGAGACACGGGTTAAACCGAAGCTAAGGGATTGTGATTATTTTGAAAAGGTTGTAGGTCTATTAAATGCAGTGTATATATTTTATTAAAGCTAAAATGCTAAAAAGGTTATTTTAGAGTGATTTTGTAATACCAGGATGACGCACAGAGCTAAAAAATATGAATTTTGATAGACGTCTGCAAAGAAAAATGAAAGGGAATAAAGAGATTTTTGCAAGGAAATTTGTCCGAAAAAATGGAAATTTCAAGCTATAAAAGAGGAAATCAATTTTTTTGCTGTGGAAACACTGGAACCCGGCTGTTGTGTCAACACAAGTGTTTACCAGAGAGTGTTTACAGTACTAGGCGAGTTTGTTAGGCATGCGAACGGCGAGAAAATGCCGAAAAGATGCGTTGTTGCCGGTTGTAACAACATAGGAGATAAGGAAAAAGAAATATCGTTGCATGCAATTTCTTATTCGGGGGACGAACGGCCCGAAGCGAAAAAAAAACGAAAGAAATGGACTGACTTCGTACTAAGCCTCAAACGTGCAAAATGGACGCTGACGTCGTATTCAGTCATATGCTCTGAGCATTTCAAGCCCGAGGATTTTTTGCGACGGTTTTCCCATGTCGAAGGTGAAAGCTTCGTTGGCAACAGATGGCTCAAAAGGGACGAGATCGGAATTTGTGTATTCCCAACAATCATGCCATCAGCTGACGCACAGAAAGTTTGAGACAGATACAAGAGAATAGTATGCTATAATTTTGTATTTTATACATAATTGTGCGTAACTTGAATTTGTTTGACTAAACTGATTTAATTAATAAACATATCATTATATAACATGCTAACACTTAAACTGATATACAGTAATTGGGTAAAGCATATAAGAAAGACAATTTCGTTTAGTCTGTGAGAGCTTTCTATGTCATTAATTCTGTCTTCAGACTTCAGCCTTGCAGATTTTTGTAATTTCCGTATGCAATTTGATACAGTATTATACAGTGATATAATTCTCCATCTATATCTCTTGCTATGCCTATGTTTTAGTGAAGTCAATATGCCCACTATGACCCATAGGTGTGTATTTTAAGGATGTCTGAGGACGGTATCATATTTGACTGTCAAAATAATTATGGTGAAATATTGATCAATGCATACCATGTACCCATGTATATATATATATATATATATATATATATATATATATATATATATATATATATATATATATATATATATATATATATATATATATATATATACATGTTTGATTTGTACAGATTATGTCGAAGAAATATTTCAAACTTTTCTCAATGTTACCAAAGATGATCTTTAAAAGGCAGCCAAGCAACTCAAAGAGTACAGTGTCTTTGCAAAGTGTTGCCCACTGCCTATGGCCCATAGATAAGTTACCCAGTATGCTTGCTGTTAATATAAATCTTTTTGTTACTGTAGTTTCACTACTATGTTGTTGAACAGAACCAAGAGAAGTCTAAAGCAGCACCAAAATGCAGGGCATGTGAACAACCCATGAAAGGACACAAGTTTGTTACAGACTGTCCAAGGAATGAAAGGAGAACATCATACAGTAAATCTTCACCCTTCGGAACGCGCCTTTCTATTGGCTAGTTCTTAATTGACGGTCGCAAGCGTCGCCGAGAAAGATTGAAAATTCTATCACGTCATATTAAGCCAAACAACTGTATGTTAAATTGTAAAAATCTTGCCCGCTCTTCTATAGGATTTTCTTAAAATTTCATATATTGTATAAAATTATATGCTCTTTCAAAAGGTTACTTTCTCGTAGGTTGTGCAAGCCTGAAAATGAACGAAAATCCCACTCAAATAGGACTGCCTTTGGCGCGTCATATTAAGCCAATTATATATGAGCTTTGAACAACTGTCTGTTAAATTGTAAAAATCTTGCCCGCTCTTCTATAGAATTCTCTTAAAATTTCACATATTGTTTAAAATTATATGCTCTTTCAAAAGGTTACTTACTCGTAGGTTGTGCAGGCCTTAAAATGAACGAAAATCCCACTCAAATTGGACCTGCTGTATTACCGCGTGTCTTATATATATACTAAGCCAATTTATATGCGTTGCGAGGAACTTCCTGTTAATTTGTAGATTTTGCGCCTGCTATTCTATAGGATTTTCTTGAATTTCATATATTGTAGAAAAATATGTACTCTTTTAAATGGTTACTTACTCGTAGGTTGTGCAAGCCTATATGAAGCAAGCGAGAATCCGTCTCAAAATTGACTATGCACTATGTCACAGGCGTCATCGTATAATTAAATCTGATATATACACAAAGTCAATTATATATATGTGCATGCTGTCAAAAATTGCCTCTTTAACCATCCATAACTTGCCCTCTATTCTATGCAATTTTTTTAAACTTTAATATATTGTATAAAATTATATGTTCTTTCAAATGGTTACATACACGTAAGTGGTGCAAGCCTGAAACTGAACGAAAATCCCACTCAAACAGGACTGCCCTTCGCGCGTCATATATATTAAGCCAATTATATGGGCTTTGAACAACTGTCTGTTAAAATATAAAAATCTTGCCCGCTCTTCTATAAGATTTTCTTAAAATTTCATATATTGTAGAAAAATATGTGCTCTTTCAAATGGTTACTTACTCGTAGGTTGTGCAAGCCTATAAACAAGCGAGAATCCGTCTCAAAATTGACTATGCATGTGGTAGGCGTAATTTAATCTGATATATACAAGTAAGGCATAATCATAATTAAAATGAACAACTTTATCATAAGTAATCGTATGTAGACAAATGCAAAAACTATTTCAATAAACTAGTATTTTATATTACAAAGAACAACCCAAACTATAATAGCTATATATAGAAACTATACATGTACATATAGTTCCTGATTTTGGTTACACCAACATCCATTTTTGAGATGTTGATGCTTATTGGAGACACTGGTCATGGAACAGTGTATCCCCCCATAAATATATCCCTGAAAGAGGATAAAGCTCTATATGTTGAACAGTCTGTTTAGTCTTTACATTTTTACACAAATTTTGGAAACAATAGACCTTACCATTTATTCACTAGTGACCAAATGGCCTCTTTCCATGTTTGCCTATTTTAAAGTGCACATGAAAGTTAAATATTCATGTTTCCTGCACAACTTTGTCTCGCATTGATCTTAAGTCCAATCACAAGCTTATTCTTTACTCTCTTATGCACAAAACATGAGTTTTAATATCACATGAAAACGAGGCATTGGGTCAAAAGTAAATAAACGGTAAGGTCTATTGAGTTTCAATATAGGTAACTCTCCCATTAATGTTTAGTAACATTGTCTGGTTGTTTAGACAGAGTAAGATAAATATGAGCACACTATTGAGACACAGTGCAGCTTCCAACATTCTTCTCAATGGTCTATCATTATCTAAGTGAAATATGAAACAAATGGTGTTCTGTAATTTTACTCTGCCTGATACTGCTGATTAGGGAAAGTCCATGAACATATAGTTCCGCATGTTCCTTTGTCAAATAAAATTGCCTGGTGTTAGAGAGATTTGTAGGTAGGGTGCATAGCAGCTTATTAAGTATATGGTTAAGTAGCAACATTCCAGCTCACAACAGCAATATATTTGCATTCTTGCCAATTACTCAAAAACTCCAGGCTACAATTTTCACATTTGCACCTAATATAAATTATGTAATATTGACAACATGAGTGGCCTTGCCATGCCATGAAATAATCTTTAACGTAAATATGTTTATTAAAATAGTATAGTATAGTATACTGTAGTATAGTATAGCATAGTTTAGCATAGTATAAGCAAAATTTGCGACTTACCACTCATAAAGTTTTGCAGTTTCATGCAAACGCTTCAATATCTCGCCTTTAATGATCTCGTCCGCCCTCATGTCCACTCCTCATCAGCGACAGGATCATCAACCCGAGCATAGGCTGCATAGCTGCATAGGCATGATATAAGGGCATCATCATCGCTTGAAACCAGATATATCGGCTTCTAAGCCTTCTATCCCTACATTTTGTCATATTCTGATAAATAATCGTTCCCTGATGCGAACGAAGAAGCCTCGGAAGATGCATCCGTTGAAGACATTGCAAAAAGATATAAAAAACCGCGAATTATTCTTCGAAATTAAAGCTTCTTGAATTTTTTCTGTGTTGGTGTAGTGTACTCAGGTGAATATGATATTTGTGGTGTTACTCTGAGTGTATATCCACACCGGGCGAGTTTGAAAAATATGCCCGACCACGATGCTTCTTTGTAATGCTTCTGTAATGAAACCAGATATATCGCTTTCTAAGCGTTCTATCCCTACATTTTGTCATATTCTGATAAATAATCGTTCCCTGATGCGAACGAAGAAGCCTCGGAAGATGCATCCGTCGAAGACATTGCAAAAAGATATAAAAAACCGCGAATTATTCTTCGAAATTAAAGCTTCTTTGTAATGGTAAATGTATAGTGTTTACAAGGAGGCTTCGCATGAGTTCACCAATTGACGTCACACATTCCTCCCTCACCAGTCTCCCAAAACTCGGTGGTGGAACAAATGTGTGCACACTTTGAGAAGCCATAGAATTGCGAGAATTCAACCGATTAAAAAAAATTTTCCAGTTTTGTACTCCATAAATAGCGGTTATTTATTATTTGAAAAAAAATTTAGGGGGGTTGTGGCACTTTAAATTAGTCAACTTAAGTCTTAACGCTTATAATTAATCGTTATAATTAGCCGTCCACATTCTTGAGAAGCTTTAGACTATTGTGATTGTGTTCACAACGAACAATAGAAAACACAATGTCTTTCTTATCATTTGCGTTTGCTGATATATTTGCTGAATATTAATGATATGTAAATATTAATTGCTACGAATACAGTCAAAAATTGCTTGTATTTCGCTTCTAAAGTCAAAAATGAAAAATCGAACACCGTCAATCGACGCCGAATATTGCTTAGAATAATTATGTCAAGTTTCATTCCGATCGGACAAGTAATGACGGAGCCTTAGGGTTTTTTTCAAAGAGCGTCGCCCCCTAACAACAACAACAACAACAACAACAACAACAACAACAACAACAACAACAACAACAACAACAACAACAACAACAACAACAACAACAACAACAACAACAACAACAACAACAACAACAACAACAACAACAACAACAACAACAACAACAAGATTAGCAGCGATTGGGGACCAGTTCCTGGTCCAATTATACATACAAAAGCAAGAAGTTATAAACATTGAAGATATCCATATAAAACCGCCCATGCCAGGAAAGTAGAGTTCGAACATTTAGCCGACCCTTGACCTTGTGCAAGGTGTTTGATATTCAAATTGCACTTTTCCTATCTCATGAACAGGTGTCTTAGGGGCTGTTTACATGATGGAAGGCAGGACGATTTTCATGTAAATATTGAAATATTAGGCCCTGTTTACATAAGACCGGGACAAAGTCAAACCGAAATGAAAATTGAAATTGTCAACATGTTTACATGAGACCATTACAAAATTTTCTATTTATTCCCCTTGCCAGAAAATTTTCTTTAATACTATTCTTAGATGGCTTTTGTTAACATGTGTTGTTCCAGTGTCAAGGTAACAGCCGAGACCGGTCTGAAATGTCTTCAGTTGTGTTTACATTCATCCCGGTCTGAATTCATGCTGGTCTGAAGTCAGTCGGCTCGGTCCAACAGGCAGAATGACTTGAGATCGGTCTGAGTTATTTTCGTAAACGTTTCATGTAAACATCTATTACAAATAATGATGACCGAAACAAAATGGTTTGACTTCGTTCCGGTCTCATGTAAATGGGGCCTTAGTCACCAGGTAAATGAAAGTTCAAATGCTGGTTAACAGAACTCATGTTGTAAACTTCTTGTGGTTGAAGAAGGTTATTATGCTTGAACAATCTTTCATTTCCAGTTAATTATAATCCATCTCTTGAAAATAATAAAGTTTTGTGCTGAATTATGCACTGTGACTTATTTCAGCACATCGAAATTATCCTGCCTCATATATCGTCCTGGCAAAGCTAGAACATATAAAGTCTATAAACAGACCCTTATTCAGCAAATTGCGCATGCTGCCTTTCATCCCTTGGGGCGAGGCAGCATTTTCCTTGCGATAGCAACTTTTAGTTTAACTATAGATCATTATGTTTCATAATTCCAAATTACAGCTGAATTAAAATGCCATTTATTGGCATTGGCCGCATTGCGATTGCCATCCGGTTGGCATGAATTGTTTTAAGGCATGCATGCCATTTGATATGGAAATAGTCACAACCTTGGGCTTCAAAAGATCATATTTGATTAATAGTTTGTGAGACCACCTAATTTCAAAATCCCGTACACTTTTGAACGCCGCGGCGGGCCCCTCGGAAGGCGAGCAGGCTATGCATGCGAAGGCCGAAGCTTAAAAATCAATATTCGCGACACGGGTTTTATACTAATATTTATTGTCTTCAATAATTAGTTCGTCGCTGACAACCGTGGCCATACTAACATTGCTGACATGACATGGTTATGCCATCGACTTATAATTCTTTCCATATGAAATGGCAATTACGATAATCAGGGCCTATCAGAGAAATTCGGAGGCCCGGGGCAAATTTTTGTTTCGGGGTCCTATCTTTCCCCAAAAGGTTGGCAAGCGGGGGAGGGGGTGAAAACTTTTTCCGGACATTAAAAAACGGTCAAAAAATTTTCTGGTCGAACACGAGTTAAACTAAGGTTCAAAAAACTTTTTCCGCACAAATTCCTATTACAACATGGGTCAGACCCTTTTTTTTATGAGACCTACTATTACGGGAACCACTGAGTATTTTAATATATTAATATAGAACAACGGTAACTCCGAAAATAAAATTTTCGGATTTACCGTTGTTTTATATTTGATTTGCTATAATTAGTTCAAGCGAGTCACATTAGAATATATTATTAAAACTGGGGACAATGGCAGGCCTACTTTGGGGGCCAAGGTCGCCGTTATTATGTGCAACATTGTGCGACATTAGGCGACATTGGCAATTTTCAAAGAAAAAAGTGTGCGTCGCTGGGCGAAACTGGGCGACATTGAGCGACATTGGGCGACATTAGGCGACATTGGACAAAACTGAACAGTAATATCCAGATAACGTCAAATATTATAATTCACAAATTATGCATATACATAGAAAATACAACAGTAAATATCAAAATATAATTTAGTTCCTGTGGCAAAGAACACAATTAGTTTATTACAAATATCAAAAAATAACAAGGAACATTTATCTAACTGCTAGCCTGACAATTTACTCAAAGTTTATACCGTAGTACACATACATGCCCATGCAGTGCATGGTACATTTACAGTATCATGGAAATGCTTGAAATCTAACCCACCAAACTGGCAAACAAATATCTCAAATAGTGATAACTATAAATCTTATAGTTTCAATAAAAAATAGAATTTACTTTCAAAGCAAACAGATAGAAAAAAGTTTAATCCATATACATTTGTATAACTATACTGACTTACTTTACTAAAATTAGATGACAGTTCCTTTACTTTAACTGAACTAATATAAAATAATTAAATTCCTTTTGTCCAAAACCTCAGAGACCTGTTCTTGTTCGGCTGGGATTTGAGCCCGCAATACCATGGCACGTCTAGTTTAGCTTCTAACTTGTACTACTTCGTGTAAGGAAGCATAATAATTGTTAAGGCGGGCCTTGGCCACATTTTATATAAACAACCTGTACCGTAGATCTTTCTGTGGTGCGTTCATTGCTCTGTATCTTTTGCGATTATACCTAATTATGAGATGTCGATCATCGTAGCTTCGTCGAAAAGTAAGTACTTTTATTTTACAAACTACAAAGTCGTATTTTGAACATACTATAGATGACTTTCTTTATTTATAGATAAGACTATTCCATATACAGTAACATGTACCGGTGGTAACCCCCCTATCGAGTTCAAGGTTTTACTATATGTACCCCTGAGAAATTCCTACTGTAACAAAGTATGTCCCATGATGGTTTCCTGTTAATAGCAGTTACCACTTTAAAAATAATTCAGCATTTACCTATAGAATTTCAATTTTTGCCTTTGACCCCTGATGAAATCTCATTGATGAAAATACCCAACACCTGAAGAATTCCATAGCCAGGATAATTTGTTTACTTCTGAGAAATTCCAGGGCCAAAAAGCAACTTACCCGAGATGAATTCCAAGTTCATTGATATAATGCCTCATAGAGACTCAAAAAGGATCGTGCACTGATTTATACTATATCTTATATATCCCCGGGCGTTCTCACACGCTCCCGGGCGCTTCAGGGCGTCCCCGGGCAGTCCTGGGCGTCCCCGGGCGCTCCGGGCAGTATTTAGTACTCGTGACCGATTATATATATACATATATATATATATATATATATATATATATATATATATATATATATATATATATATATATATATATATATATATATATATATATATATATATACCGTTCGGCCTTTAGGATACCTAGTGTCCTTCACTAGGCTAGTGAGAGGTATTCTGTACTTTTGCACTCGCCAGTTATCATGAATGTATCTTTGATAATAAGATCTAAGTTTGATTTCATATACAACATTTAATAGCGTGTGATTGTCTAAATTGACTGAGTTTCACAAAGAAACACACTGGAGAAGATGGCCAGAAGGCTGCCTTAGGATTAATGTGTTGTAATTCATATACATATAAACCCCAAATAACCAAGCCTCATTAATACTGCTGAGAGATGGCGCCCTAACAGCACATGCCCTTGGTGTTTGTGTACATGTATTTATGAAAACAACATGCAAGAAACTAAAAAATAAATAAGGAATAGACTAGTATGGACGACAAACTCAAAGTGCAAAATTGGGCATGCTTGTGTGAGATTATGCGACATTAGGCGACATTAAGCAAATAGACTGTCAGGCAAAGTTAAAAAATTGGGTGCACATGGGCGAAAGTGGGCGAAATTAGGCGACATTAGGCGACCTTGGCCCCCAAAGTAGGCCTAGTTTGTATATCAGATAAACATCGGCTGCTCATGTTTTAACGTGCTTAAAGACGACCCATCATATGAGTTCATTGGCGAAGTAATTTTAAAAATAAACATTGTCTAAGCCGAGAAAATCGAAGCTGAAGTTTATGTAAATGAGGACAATTTACAAATCTTTTATCCGATTGATTTACATACATTGATTAAACATTCATTTCCTTTGAATTTTCTTCATGAATTATTAATACTGTATTTAGTGTCCAGCATTCGCAAATGTTTTTGTTTCTCTGCTGTCGAAAATTCACTGCTGGCGAGCAACGATGCAAATCAATACAAGTTTTGATATATTTCAGATTCGACAGTTCTAAAGTTCTTGGTCAACGAGCATGGCCAGATAACGAAATTGCCTTGATATACGCATTGTCATTGGCCAATACCCCATCACGTGTTCGGCCGTTTCACTCCCCTCTTTATTTTTTATTATTTCTCCGCCGTATTTTAAAGTTCGGATCTTTCTCGGTCGCCCTTCGGAGTATCATCGTGTAACATAAATTAATGTCAAAGATGAACATAAATTATTGCGCCTGCGATAAGCTAATAATATATACCGCTTTCAACATTCAAAATGGCGCCCGATGAAAATTGAAACATTTACATGTAATTAAAAGGTTAGTATAAATTTACATAAATATTTCTGGCGTGCTCCCTTGATGAAGTACGAATAAAAAACCAAACAATGTTTATAAACTTTATATGGTTTCGCATGGTTTCACGAATCACGACAATTTCAACAGGCTAAGAATTGTAAAATATGCATTTTGCCATTTTCTGTGATTTTCATGCACACATGGGGATTTTACAATAGAGAGGTTAAGATACCCTGGTTTCGGTGTACGGGTACGAGTAGTGTCATCTTGTTTTACTGATGTCTGTAATTCGATCATACTTTTTCTGTTTTCTTGCAATAGACAATGATATAATGAGAAAAATGTGCACCTTAATTACGAGTAAAGGTTCAGACATCGACGAAAATATTGCTAACCAAAATCATGCTACCCGTACCCGTACACCGAAATCGGGGTATCTTAACCTCTCTGATGAAATATCATAGATATAGGAGGTATAGATCGCCGACTCCTATTCTGAAGACTAGAAACGAGACGTGACCAAAATTAAAAATCCAAGATGGCGGAACAAGCGGGCAAAAAACGCAAGTGACATAGGAAAACTAGATAAATATGGGTATTTTCAAGCACTTATTGTGGAAAATCTACATGGAATTTTGCTACGATTTTGGTTTTATTTAAAAAATATTATCTTTATTAACGTCATTCAAGGATTCAGTGTGTTTTTTTTTGCTTTTATATCTCGAAATATTCAGCTGAAATGTGTCGAGTTATTCAACCACATGGACATTTATGCTGCCGAATCCAATGTTAATCATTACCAAAGAGGATTAGTTTGTTAATTTTTTGTCTCTCTGATGGCTTTTCATCTCGAACTATTCTCTCCGAATGGATCTTTCCGAAGCGGTAGACAAATATCTTGGCGTAGAGGTCTGAAATGGAGTGGATTAGGAGTGTAATATGGTCATCTCGTAAATTTTAGTCAAGAATATGGCATCCTCTGTATTGCTGGTGCAAGCAAGTGAATGTAGATGGCTTGGTCTCCGGCAGAACTTCTGTTTAATCACTTGAAGGGATTCTTTCTTCATTAAATGCCACTGATGGAGTCTTTCACGAAGGATTTTATCTGTGACTTGGACTATTTTCACAATTGATGGCGAAGGAACTATTAAAGTGCCATGCAACTCTTGAGGGGAATTAAGTAGTTGGAGCTGTTTGGGGATGTACGGGTGTAGGATGACTGATCTGGTGGTATATTTTGATCTTCAGCCACCAAGGCATCAAACACATTCAAAACATTTTATGGATGAAAAAAATTGCTACACTATGAACCCTCTAATGTAACCAAACACTATACTGGAGAGCTATCAAGCATTCTCACAATTATCTTGTCAGGTTCAAGCTCTTTCTCCGGTTTGTCACAGTGTTCTGTTCATAATGCCGATTGAAATTGTAATATTATGGGATTGTTATTCTGGACAGTGAATGCTGGATAATCCAAGTGGGGGCATATGTACACAATTTAAGACCTAACCAGGAACGGTTGCAAAAAGTACAACACTAGGTCCTCTGGCAGGAATCAAACCTGTCGCCTTAGGTCTTAAACTGTGTATATATATGCTTGCTTGGATTATCCACTAAACCCAACATTCTAGTTCAACCCAGTGAAGTGAAAAACACATCTTTCAAGTTTACCTTATCAAAATCCACACACCTGAAAATCTATATATAACTGAACATGAACTTGTGGTTGCAGCTTGGCTAGCCTGCGAACAGGCTCTCAAGCTGAATTGAGAGCCTGCATCGATGACTAATGAATTTGAATATCTGCGTCTCAAATCGTGACGCGAAATTCTCATTGGTCAGATGCTATAATTTATATGTTTCCGCTGAGCTCTATATATGTCAACTGCTGAAGCACTATGCATAAAAAACACATTAACTGATCAAATTGGTCTTGGCCATCTTATCTGAAAGCACGAAATGTTCTGTTTTGAGAAAACAGTATTTAAAACATTTGAACTTTTGCTTGAATATCTTATATTTCGAAAAACAGTATAAACTGTATGGTCTAAATTTAGTTTCCACGGTCTAAATTTAGTTTGCACGAAAGTTGTAAACAACATCATATAAGGATAGACATTCCATATTTGGAAAAACGAACGTTACGGGGCAGACATTCAAATCCATTAGTCATCGATGCAGGCTCTCAATTCAGCTTGAGAGCCTGTTCGCAGGCTACAGCTTGGCAACTGGCCTATGCAGCTTATGTATCTACCAATGTTAAGCCCGGGGGGGGGGGCAAGGGGTTGGGATTTGACATTTTCCTGAAAAAAATTGTCAAAATCCACATCCCAGGGACACCACCATTGGTCAAAAAATGGTAATACTCCTAGGCCTTTCCCGATTGCGCTAATCACTTTTTGAGCACTTTTTTTTGTTTGGAGCACCATTTTGCATGTTGAGCAACGTTGAGCACTTTTTCGCACTTTGGGCAACATTTGAGCAATATTTCACATTTCGAGCGAATTTTGAGCAACAAAAAGTTAGCGATTATAGAATTCCATTCGTACTTCGATTAACTAAACATACAGTTCGGAGTAAGGTTTAAAAATTGACGGGTATTATACTATTATTTTATATATAATTTAGGTATAACTCCAAAAGAAAAGCCGTACAGCTGCATATGACATTACAGTTAAAAAATTAGAACGCTGACTTTTTCGAGTTCTCTTTTTTTGTCGTAAACAACTCCATATACGGAAGTTTGTTCCATATATGGAGAAGGACGTGGAAACAGATTTTAAAAAATACTGATTTTAAAAAAATTACGAAAATCTTAGAGGTAACTGTTCACAATTTTAGCACTTTTTGAGCACTATTTTGAGATTTTGAGCACTTTTTGAGCACTTTTTAGCCATTTTTGCCAGTACTTTTTTAGGATTTTACCAGCGCAATCGGGAAAGGCCTAAATACTCCCTACCTGAGGAAATCAATATTGGGTCAAAAAACAGAAATATTTCCCCCATCTGGGGGCTGGGAAAATTTGTTATATTGCATTCGTGATCAAACTAATAACCAAAAGTGTTGTACTTCAACAAAGCAGACTATTAAATTGCCTGTTCCAACAATCTAAGTATAGGCCAGTGACAATATGTATATGCCACTGACATGGACTCGTTCCCATTATTTGTGTGTGAATAAAAAATATTCAAAATTGCCTGGCCAAGGGCTGCCTTGAAAGATCAAATGTCCACACCAAGGGTTGCCGAGAGGGGGCCAGTGGGAGGGGCAAATTGCCCCAGGCCCCCACCATAATAGGGCCCCAACTTGAGAAGAAGAGCCTAAAATTGAGTAGTTTCTTTAAATTGGTCAGAGCATTTTTGAAATTGAGGGCCCCTTACAGTACCTCCACATGCAGTCTACCTAAGTTCTAGTTGGGTCTAGCTTAAAAATAATGTCATGGGGCCCCCAGGGAAGATTTGTCCCAGGCCCCACGTATTCTCTCGGTGGTCCTGTCCACACCGCAGGGTGATCTTGCGACATCAAAATCCTCCCCGTCGGGCAAGCAAAGTTGTTCAAATCTTTACCCCTTGCCCCCGCCCTATTGAAAGGTGCATTAGTTGGTTAGAGTGCTACACTGGAATTGCAGGGCCACAGGTTCGATTCCTGGAAGAGGACCTAGTGTTCGCAACCGTTCCTGGTTACAGTAGGTCTTAAATTGTGTATGCATATGCCCCCACTTGGATTATGCACCATTATGCCAAAAGGGTTAAATTGACAAATGTTTGCAGTTATGATTTGCATGTGAAATTATCCGTAATGTAGCCTAGGTTGGCATATTTTCAT